CAAATCAATTTTGCTTGGTTGGAACAGCAGCTACGCTCATTATGTATATTTGTTTCTCTGTTTTTTGCCACGGGATTGACATCACGTGGTAACTAGGATTTACACAAGCTTCAGTCTGGATCCAGAACACCTGAGAAGAGATGATGCAACCCCTCAGAGGACCTCAGATGATGCCAACCCTGAAACAACTTACAGAACTACCACATTTTGCTATAAGTTTGATTGCATCATATAATAATTGCTGTTAATATTGTTCATCGTCTGTTTTATTACGTCTTAAATTGATTTTTCCGTACTGCTGGTTCGTCTGGTCAGAGGAGAACTGGCCCCCTGACTGAGCCTGGTTTCTCCCAAGGTTTTTTCTCCATTCTGTCACCGATGGAGTTTTGGTTCCTTGCCGCTATCGCCTCTGGCTTGCTTAGTTGGGGACACTTCATTTCCAGCGATATCGTTGACATGATTGCAAAGATATTATTTAAACTGAGCTGGATGTTGACATCACTGAATTCAATGATGAAGTGTCTTTAATTGAAAAATTAGGGTTTACTATTGTCATTTTGCATTATTGACACTATTTTCCTAATTAATGCTGTTCAGTTGCTTTGACACAATCTGTATTGTTAAAAGCGCTATATAAATAAAGGTGACTTGACTTGACATAAAGGTGATGATAAGTTAACCCTAATGTTGTGTATAACCCATGACACACAAAAGAAAATTACATCATTTTCATGTAGTTTTAGTGATCAGATCTCTCTTAATTACATCCTAAAAAATTACAGGCTATTGAAAAAGTTTTCAGGAACACATCCCACTATTAGCTGACCATGTACAGTTAGTCAAGTCAAGTCAGAATCTCTCTAGAAACTCAGGGGCTTGTGGTACTAGTTAAACAAACGACAATGTAATTCTCTTCTCAGAAGGGTAAAATCAGCTTTACAGTAATAAACGGGCATCAGTGTTGCAAAAATTCTCCAGGAATCAGTCATTTTAATTATTACAATTTAAGTTTAAATTGAAAAGCAGCTTTCCATCTATTCATTTTTCTGCCACTTATACTTTGGGACTGGGTCACAGTGGCAGCAGGCTTAGGAGGGCAAGCCAACACATCCTTTTACCCAGCAATGTTCTCTAGTTCCTCTAGAAGGATTCCAAGGTGTTTCCAGGCCAGCTGAGATATGTAATCCCTCCAAAGGCTTGGCCTCCTTTTCACTATGAAGTTCCAATACTATGGCCACATGCTTCAGCCTGCCCACACTTGTAAACAAACCCCCGAGATACTTAAACTCCAACATTTGGGGAAACAACTCATCCTCTACCCAAAGAGGAAAATCCACCTTTTTTGGCAGCAAACCATGGCCTCAGATATTGGGGTGCTGACCCTCATCCCCCTGCTTTACATTTCCAAAACTGCCAGAATGAGCACTGAAGGTCACAACCATGCAAGGTTGTATATGTCCTTCAGGACCAATTCAGTAGTCCCATGTCTTAAGCAATCTTAAAAGGCCTTCTCCTTACACCTGACAACCTCCTTTACCATTGGTGTCCAGCATTGTGTTCCTAGGTTGGTGCCACAGTAGGCACCAACAACTTTCCAGGCCCAGTTTCAAGCAACCCCCTTTGCAATTGAGACTTTAAACAGGGCCCACTTGGACTTCAGGCTCCTTTGGATAATGTAGTAGTTTTCTAGTTTGGTGATAGTAAAAGATAATCTAGACAAACGTTCCCAGTTCACCCTAACCAACTGTTTGGGTTTCCCAAGTCTGTGCAGTAGCCTCTTCTGCCATCTAATTAGTTGACAACTTTGCTCCTCTCTTTACCCAAGTTTCCAAAACATACGACTGTAGGTCAGATGATATGACAGCAAAGGCAATCGTTGTTCGTTGGCCTAAGGTGGATTGGTACCAAATACACTTAACACCACCTTATGTTTGAACATGGTGTTCATCATGGCCAATCCATGATGAGTGGAGAAGTGCAAGGAGAGAACACCACTCAAGTTCAAAG